GGGTGTTTGTGCCTGAAGATAAAGCAACTCCATAACTGTCCTTTCAATGTTTGTCAAATCAAAAACCGATGTATTCAGGCCGTTCGGAAGTCTAAGGCATTCGGAGACATGTGTAGGCAGCAACCGTTCTCCACGGCAGCGTTTTCTATGGCTCGCCGGTTACTTGTCAGAAGAAGAAATCAGAATGTTTTGCAGGATTGGTATTTTTTGGTTGTCGTGTATTCGAATGACTGCTGGCAAAAGAAAGCTCGCTCAGTGGGAAGTGATTAGTTAGAGGAATGCTGGGCGATGGTGGGGAGGATGAAGAGCTCACCACTTCGAGGCTTGGAACCAAAGAGTAGTAAGTTCCTTCTCTTGCATAGTTTTCTTAGTTCCTATAGGATTATTGGCTGAGTGTACGGATATGGAACATGAGATATGTGGGATTTGGAAAAAAAAAGAGTAGTGAAAAAATGAAATATGGAAAAACAAGGCAAAATATATTAATGAAAACTAAGAAAATTTTGAGAAGGGTGGAGAAAAATTTTTTTTTGTTGTAAGAGGAAACTTATTTTATACGTAATGAGCCTATTTTGGTGGTTTCTTTGGTATCCAGTGAAAATTCACTCATCCTGGTGGTCGGTAAGGTATCAACCGTGTCGTCGGAAAACAACAGTGTTCGGAACGACGTGATGATGCTCAACAACACGTGCTAAGGGCATCTCTAAACGACTGAGGCCTCGTCAAATGTTTCGAGAAGAGTACTGAGCTAATGATCGCTTCAAGCAACAAAACGAACGTTAAGATCGTCAGACTGAGCATCAGGCTTAGCAACTGGAAAAGTTGTTAGCCGCATAGGGTATAGCTCCAGCTACGAATTAACAACCGTTCCAAATGCTCCAAGTGGTTAAAAGTTGAACTGATCAATTTATGCTGAAAAATCAATTTCTTGCAGCTGGACTGAGCATTACAAATTAGAACTGAAAAATTTCGAGGAATTTGGAGACGGAGGTGAAATATGGTTTGGACGTGCTGTTGAAAATAGAATCGTTAAATATATCACTGAAAAACTGCAACTGTCCAAATTGTCCAGGATCATCGATTTTGGCTGCGGAAACGGTTCATTGCTGAGAGCACTGGTACGTTTTTGCTGATAGACGTGGGCAGAGTTGGACGAATTTATTGGGGATAGAAAGGCATGATGTAACACATTGTATCTCAATCATTTAGGCCGCATGCTTTAGTTCAGGCGGCTTGGTGGTTTTTTCGCAAATTTTTGTTGCATGTGAGTTGGAGATTTCATGAAATCATTTTTTTTGTCCCGGGATCTTCGTCTTTGTTTCGTCGGTATGTAGTGTTCTTTAAGAAAATCTATCTGAATTGCTCGAGATAAATGTGGAACTCTCGGTATTATTTGAAAAGATAGCCTAAGAAAGATGACTGGGGTCGGCGCATCGAAAACGATAGTGATGACCATGCTGTATTACAGATGGATAGGTCTGGAAGCGAGTAATTAGGAGCCGCGACTTGCAGCCGGCGGTATCACATAAAGGGGTGCTGATTAGTAGAGATTTCACAACTTTTTCGATACCTCCGAATCTTTTCAACACCACTTTGTTGAAGGCAGTAACATATAGATGCTAAACATGGTCAGTGAGGAAAGTTGAAGAGCGAACGTTGGTCGTGATAAAAAGAAAGCAATAATGCGAAGAATGATTGGCGTGTCTTCGTGAGCCTAAAGATATTTAATCGTCCCGTTATGTAAGCGCCGTGCAAAATATCATTGGGACTACGCAAGAAAGTAAAACCTGATAGTAAAAGCATGCTTTCTGCTTTTTCAATAGTCTGTCGCACGGCGCACGTCTCTCATCGGTTCCCACGAGAAAACAAACGACCGCTTCGGTGACCTTTGACAAGATGTAGGAAAAATAATTCTAGCAACGTCACTAATGTCGAATGTCCATGAGGTTGGTCGAGCTGCGTTCATAACATTGATGTTGTATAGAAGCAAGCTTGTTTTCCGATGAAGTTAGCCGCATTTTGAAAAGCTGTTTCTGTTCTTCATATTTTACCAGCAAGCCCCTCTACATCTGACAAATTCAGTGTCTACATACATTGTATACCATAATAATATGTTTTTAATGTTTAGCGGCGAAAAGGATATGTCAGTTTGTTTGGTGTTGATTTTTTCGAAGAAGCAGTATTGCTAGCGAGGAAACTTACCGAAGACAGTAATTGCTGTAACATTAAATTTATGGTAATTTTTTATTATAAACTACCGGTTTCATAGTTTGTGCATTTTTTGCATCTTTGCAATGCAGAAAACGCATATTGACGAAGGGCTGTCTGTATATGCGTCTGTACCAATTTCTCATCGCAGCGACAGGGCTGAAACTTTGGGAACATAATCTATATCCACGTACGGGCCCCAATCCCAAAGTGTGGCAGCAAGCTGCTAATTTAGGAACCAGAAAGCTGTAATTTCAAGATGTTCCCGTCCAAGTGGGTATTAACGAGTTCAAACCTGGTCCCTAGGTACACGTGGTTCCCACTTGCGGCCCCGTGAAAGTTTTTTCGGGTAAGTTGTTAACTCGGGAACCTGAGAAGCTAAATGATTGGAACTTTAGAGATATGTTCCCTGTCCACGTAGGACTTAATCAGTTAAAACCCAGCCCCCAGGTGTGCACATTTCCTACTTGCGAGCCGGTCAGTGTTTTTGGGGTAAGCTGCTAATTCGAGAGCCTGAGAGGCTAGAAAGCGGAAATTTCAAAGAGATGTTCTCTCCCCACGTACAATCAAATGTCTTCAAAATCAGTCTCCAGATATGCGTGGTTCCCACATACTTAATACACCAAGTATAAAGTAGGCTTGCCGTATTTTGTGGGAAAAACTCTGAGTTGGTAATTCTTCGAGGAGGAGAAGAAGGGAACGTTGGGCTCACTATTAGATTGTGGCCACAGGAGGATGCAATATTAGTCAGGAAAACTTGCCAGCTGCGTAGATGAGTTGAACAGCCGAAAGACTATGAATTATAGCTGATTCAGCAGTAAATAATGCCAGTTTAAAAAATGTGCAGCTTCCTTTCGGGCAGTGGTACTCAGACGAATGTGTGTATTTTATTATTTTCAAATGAATATTTTTAGAGAGGGGACTTGTTGGATGAGGCTTTGGATTTGAGCAGCTTCGATATTATCATCGACAAAGGTACTTGGGATGCCCTATCACTGTCGTTAGATCGAGATGCGCGTTTAAAAAAGTACAGAAGAAATGTTTGCGAAACATTGGATCACTGCGGACTTTTTCTCGTATGTTCATGCAATTATACCGGGTAATTTTCCATTTCTTGCATTAATCTTCGTATAAAATTGCGCCAAGTAGGTGTGTGTATATGTATTTTCATATATACCCGTACACAAGGAATGTGAATGTGTAGACATGTATGTGTGTGAGTTTTTGTTTTTCCTGGTGATAACTGCAGAGTTAAGAAAGTGATCTTTGAAACCATTGTTCTCTTTCATAT